CTGGCTCCTGGATCTCTAGGGAGGTGCTAATCTAGTCTTTGCCTGAGGCTATCCAGCAAAAGCTTCCCTGCAGAGGCTTGGGTGGGGTGGGTCCCATGGGATCAAACAGGGTGGGGCTAGCAGTTATGGCTGCTCTCAGTCTTGCCCTCAGAGGCTCTGCTTCTCAGTGTCCTGGTAATCTCTGCAAGCCCCTCGGAGAGAAAGCTGCCCTCGAGTTCCAACTGTTGCCAGACAGTCCCGCTTCTCCCGTATGAGTCTGGGTCCCTAGAGACTCTCCCGGAACTGGAGCTCAGAGCCTGAGACTCCCTCCCTATTGGAAACGACAACAGCGCCCTCAGCCGCCAGCCCGCTCCACATGCACCTCCGCACCTTAGTATTTTACTTCTGTACTGCGCTTCCTCTGAGTCTCGGTATGCTTTTCTCTTTCCTTCTAGTTGTAGAATTTCCCCTCAGCTAGCCTTCCTGTGGTTCTGGATGATGTCTGTTCTGTCTTTTAGTTGTATTTTTGAAGTGGTTGTTTGAGGCACCAAACTCCGATGTTTACCTATGCCTCCATCTTGGTTTCTCCCACAGTAGGCTATCTTATTGTTTACCATGGCTCCTACCATTTTCTGGCATAAAGGTAGATCTGGCTAAATTATTCCTTCCTTTCTATCTAGTCTTTTGCCCTGATGAACTGTATGCATTGATGAGAATGTATGTGCTGATGGACTGTATGCATTGATGAGAATTTCTTTTACCTGGAAGGCTATTGATCTGCTCCATGCATCTTTTCCTTGGGTCTGGTACTTAATCCTGCTTGTAGTTCTTGGGAGTTCTCCCTCAGTAGTAAGAGTTCCCTGATTCATTCTGTAATATCATTCCCAAGGGAATTAAGTTAGAAAAGGGGAAAGTTAATGAAAGTGAAAAGAAAATAAGAGGTATCCTTAGGTTAATAAAACTCTTGCTCCTATTCAACACTTATAATCAAATCTTTGTCTTAGCAGTTCCATCTTTATGTTGAGTTGCTTAACTATGACCTTAAAATCTCTTTTCAATGTTATCCTTTCGTCATATTGAATTTTCCTGCTGGGTTGAGTTGGTGGAAGTTGGGGCAGAGGGATAGAAAGAGAGAGTCCTGAGTGTATGGAGGAAAGCTTTAGGCAACCCATGAGGAAAATAGTATCTGCCAAGATAGTCTAGGTAGGATTTTGATTTGTGTGTATGTGTTGGTGTTTTGATTTGTGTGTATATGAATTTATTTATATAACCAAGATTGGCTGAAATACGCTGATTCAGAAAATAATTTATAGTGTGCTAGCAATTTACCTATTGTATACACTTTAAGATCTTCTCAAAGCACACAAAAGCACTTTGAGGTTTTCAGCTTTTATATCTGTCTAAGTACTTATAATCAAGAAGCTCTTTTTATGATAGTTTTTATAAAAGTACAGTTCCTTAAAAATATATACCTTGTTTATTCATATATTATGAATATGTAGTTTTATATAAATATTCAAATGTAGTTATTGTTCACATTGTTTTTCATTACTGAAATGATAGTGCCTTGTTTGAATATTATTTATGTACTAGGGGCCCAGTGCATGGATTCGTGCACCGTGGAGTCCCTTGGCATGGCTTGTGGGGATTGGGCCAAAAGCAGTCCAACGGGCCAAAACCGGCAGTCCAACGCCACCAGCAGCTCCTGCCTGCCGCTCCTGCTCATCCTGGCCCTGCTGCACCTGCCGCGGGCTTGCGCCCAGACAGTCCTAATCGGGAGAGGCTCACGCCTCACCTACGTTGAGCGTCTGCCCCCTGGTGGTCAGTGCAGGTCATAACGACCAGTTGACTGGTCATTCGGTAGCTTAGGCTTTTATATATATATACTGGAGGCCCGGTGCACGAAATTTGTACACTTGGGGGGTGGTGGTCCCTCAGCCTGGCCTATGCCCTCTCACAGTCTGGGAGCCCTCGGGGGATGTCTGACTGATGGCTTTGGCCCCGCAGGAGCAGGCCAAGTTTGTCAGTTGGACATGCTTAGCACTGCTGTGGAGGCGGGAGAGGCTCCTGCCACTGCCACTGCACTTGCCAGCCATGAGCCCGGCTTCTGGCTGAGCAGCACTCTCCCTGTGGGAGTGAGTGCACTGACTACCAGGGGGCAGCTCCTGCGTTGAGTGTCTGCCCCCTGTTGGTCAGTTCACATCATAGTGACTGGTGGTTCTGCCATTTGGTTGATTTGCATATTAGCCTTTTATTATATAGGCTGTCTTTCAGCTGGATTTATTGTATATATACCTGCTTAGGGTGATATGAATTATGATGGACTAGAGGCCTGGTGTACGAAATTCATGCATGGGGCGGGGGTCCCTCAGCCTGGCCTGCGCCCTCTCGCAATCCAAGACCCCTCGGGGTATGTCACGCCTAAACCGGCAATCAGACATCCCTCTCACAATCCAGGATGCTGCCTGCACCAGTGACCATACTTTTCATACAGGTGAAAGGCATCTTGCTGTTGTATGGGCAGCTACATTTTTTTGCCCTGATTATAAAAAGTAGTACATAACATGATCCTTCTGAGGCAGTAGTACCATTTTTCCCATCTTATGGGTGGAAAAACTGAAGTAGAGAGAAGTTAAGTAATTGGCTTTGTCATGCTGCATCTCAATGTTAGAGTAGCCTTGGCAGGTTTTAATTTTTAAATCTAAGAGACTGTTCCCAATATACAGGGTAGGGTTCCTAGGCCTGGCTGGCAATCAGGGCCATCTGTGGGGCGACCGGCAGGCAGGTTGATCGGGGCCCATGGCTGGCACCCACCTTGGCTGGTGACCTGGCGCCACCTGCTGGCCAGCCCTGCCCCCTGATTGCCGCCGCTGGTCGCCCCCTTCCTGGGGGGGCGGGCAGTGTGTGTCATAGTGACTGGTTGTTCTGCTGGTCATTCTGCCGTGGTCGACTTGCATATTGGGTTTTATTATGTAGAATATTTGAACATATGTATAATTCATTGAGTCCTACAGAGAAGAGGGATCTTAAAGGTTTTTCTAGTCTTGATTGCCTACTTTTAAAACAGAAACACATCTTCAACCAATTCTTGACATTTGGATCTTATAATTGCTTTTATTATAGCCATTGGTAGGGAATATACTCCTTTAGGCATTCTATTCTATTTACGAATAGTTCTATCCAATTGAAAATTGTACCTTGAATCTATCTCACTGTTAACTCAACTGTTCATCATAATTTTGTTCCTTTAGAACTAGACCTTATCCTGTAAAAATACTCTTCAGTTGTTTGAAGACAGACATCATGGGTCTCATTACATCTTATTTATGTAAAGCAAACCAGTTTGTTTTTTTAATTATTAGTCATGTTACAGGATTTCTCTGTCCTCATCACGTAATGGACATGTTTGACTTTCTTGGCTTTAAATGTTTTTTACTACAACCCCAATAAAGAATACATTTTCTATCTCAACTGAATATAAACATACATATCGAAATATGTAAGTACAGTTTTTGAACAAAAATTTCATAAGACAATATATCTTTACACTAATATCTTCTGTTCTCTTAATTAAAAAAAAATGCTAGTGTTTCCCGTTACATTGTTTTATCCAATCTGTAGTTTGGAACACACTATTTTAGTTTATTAATGTTGCAGAATTAAAACAGTTTCCCAAAGCTGGATAATCATTGCTAAAACAGTTTTACCTTTATCACCTCAAAGAGGATATCCTGATGGTGATTACTAAGAAAAAGTTCACAGGATTGTCAAGTTATTGGTAATGAGTGCTGTCAAACTAAAACACACGTAACTTTTATTTTTATCCTCAGGTGGCGACAGACAAGGTTGCGGAAAAGCTGAGTTCTACTCTCTCATGGGTGAAGAACACAGTATCATACACAGTCAATCAGATGGCCAGTCAGGTGGCAAGTCCATCTACTTCATTACACACTACATCCTCATCTACCACATTATCAACGCCAGCCCTTTCACCATCTTCCCCGTCACAGCTGAGTCCAGACGACTTAGAACTCCTGGCTAAACTGGAGGAACAAAATAGGTGAGTGACGTTGTTTGTCTTTTTTCTCTCCAATTTTCATACAAACTCAACCATTTACTCATATTAAGAATGTTTATTTTTTATTTTTTGGCTTATTGTTTATCAAAATTACTTAAAAGTATTCAAGTCTGTTTTGGAAGAGTTGGTCTTAAACCAAAGTTGAACTAAGATTTTCTTCTGGCTAACATAGCTTTATATATTTCTTCTTTTTTAAAAAAATTACCATTTATCCCCCTATACACTCTTCCACCTCTATCTACCCACTCCCTATATATTTATTTTCTTAGTTTAGAATATTCCCTAAGTTCTTCCAGAATATTAGAAAAAAATTTAAAGGCAAATAAAACCACCATTTTTAAAATTTTTAATATTTTTTTGTTAATTCTCACCTGAGGATATTTTTCCATTGATTTTTAGAGAGAGTGGAAGGGAGAGGGAGAGACAGAGAGAGAAACATTGATGCGAGAGAGACAACATTAATTGGTTGCCTCCTGCAAGCACCCCGATCAGGGCAGGTCATGGAACCTGTAAGCAAGGTACATGCCCTTGACCAGAATCAAACCTGGGATCCTTCAGTCCACAGACCAACGCTCTGTCCACTGAGCCAAACCAGTTAGGGCAAAACTACCATTTTTGTTTTAAACAAAATAGTCCCCTCTGGTTACGTCATAAAATAATTTAATCAGGATGGAAATCTGATTTGCATTTTAGAGTGGGAAATCTCTTCATAAGTTTATTCATGGAAGGCAAAGTATCCTTTTCTGTTGATGAATATGAAATAGTTGTTTACTCTGCTAGGAATGTGTGCTCTGGACTCTGTGTGTCATTTTACTCTATTCCTAGTGGCCCGGTGCACAAATTCGTGCACATTGAAAGGAAATTAATTAGAAGAAATATTTTAATATTGCTATTCGCCCTTTCTCTATAAATAGAAGTGTCAACCAAATTCACAATCGATATTGACAAATCGAAACACACGCATGCTATTGGTGCCAGTGAGAGCTTTATATGTATTGCGCATGCGCGAGTCACCTTAGCCTTTTATATATATAGAATAAACTTGCTTAATTAGACCTGCTTTCTGATTTAGCTAAATTTTTTCCAGCCCAGTGAAGCACCCCAACTTCTCTTTTAGGTAACTGTCAGCAACACAGCAGTAAATATCAACATGAAGCAGATTATGATTGTAGATCACACAGGGAGAACGAAGGGTAAAATATTTAACTACAGCAGTGTTTGACTATATTCTGTGCAGTGAGAAAACCTGATGTTATTTTCAAAGTCCACCTTTTCTTACTTCTTTTCAGTCGGGTCAAGCTTCTAAGCTTTCTAAATCTCTGTTTTCTGGCTAGTGAAAAGAAAATAGGGTACCACCAAGTCTCCTATCTACCTACAGTGGGGCCTTGACTTACGAGTTTAATTCATTCCGAGACCAAGCTTGTTAAGGAGCTCGTTAACTCTAATTGCTCTATCAACTCAATGCAAAAAATCAGCTGAGAGACAGCTGGTATCTCAAAAAACTTGTTAGTTGGGACACTCGTGAGTCAAGGCTCCACTGTACTTACTCCAGGACTTCTGTGAAGATCAAATGAGATGAGGTATGGGAAAACGCTTCACAGACATTTGGTTAAAGTGTACAATGTTTGCACCTGGCTATAAAGCAAGTCATGTTCCTAGGCTGAAGAAACTCCAAGGAGGCTAGTTGCTAGGGAGAGGAAGCGGGCGTTGCTGTGCGATGTTATTACCTGGCGCCCACAGCCACCGTTTCCAGGCTGGCTGGGCTGTGGGCCACATTTTGTGCCACGGGGTCTTGGCAGCGTTGGCTGCGATTTGGTGGGCTGTCGCTCCAGGGTGGTGATGGGGCCTGTGTCCCACTTGGGGGAAGCCGAGTGTTGCTTTGTCGGCACCAGGTCCGCAGTGCCATTTCTTTGTAAATGGCCACTGCATATCACAGCAGCTCCTGCATTGAGTGTCTTCCCCCTGGGGGGCAGTGCACATCATAGCGACCAGTTGGGCAGTCGATATATATATATATATATATACTGTAAAATTATCACCAAAGAAAAAAGATTATCACCAAAATCAAGAAAATGAATGTATCCATTATCCAGCTTCCCATCTCCAGGAAGCCATTGATAATGCTTTCAAACTAGTTTAGTTTGCATTTTCTAGAATTTTATAGAAATGGAATCATACACTATGTACTCGGCATATTAGCCTTTTATATATATAGATTATCAAAAGCTTTTTAGGGCATCAGCCAAAAAGGAATTATTAGAAGAGCATCCTTTTGTGTTTAGTCAAGTTATATATTACCACTCACTTTAAGCATAATAGCAGAGATAATTTCTAGCAGCTTTTTTGATATATAATTGACATAATAAAAAATTATACTTAATAAGGTACACAGTTTGAGAAATATTTTTATTGATTTTTAGAGAGAGCGGAAGTGGGGGGAGAGAGAAACAATGTGAGAGGGAAACACCATTGGCTGCCTCCTGTACGCCTCCTACTGGGGATCAAACCTTCATCCGGGCATGTGCCCTCAATGGGAATTGAACCAGCGACTTCTTGGTGCACTGGATGACACCCAACCAACTGAACTACACCAGCCAGGGCACTCTGTACTCTTTTTATTTATTTCACTCAGCATAATTATTTGGAGATTCACCCATATGAATAGAGAAAGACAAGTACCATATGATTAAATTTATATGTAGAGTCAAATGAACAAAATAAAGAAGGAAAATAGAGACTCATAGATACAGAGAACAGATTGACATCTGTCAGCAGGGAGGGGCGTTGGAGGACTTGGTGAAAAAGGTGAAGGGATTAATCAAAACAAAAAACAACAACTCAGAGACACAAACAACTGTACGGGAAGTACCAGAGGTCAAGGGGGGTTGGGAGAGGTAGAATAGGGTAAAGGGGAGATTAGTGGTTTTGGAAGGAGACTTGATTTTGGGTGGTGAACATGCAAAACAATATATAGATGATGTATTATAGAATTGTTATACCTGAAACCTATATAATTTTATTAACCAATATTACATAAATAAATTCAATAAAAATTAAAACATTTTTCAAAAAATGTACAGACATTTGTATTGTTGTATAATTTCATTTCTACTGGGCACAGACCTAGTGATCGATAACTGGTTCATGTAGTGGGTGTACATTTAACTGTCAGTCTGTTTTCCAGACGGCTGTACTTTTTCATGTTCTCACTATTAGCTTATAAACATTTCCTCTACATCCTTGCCAGCACTTGGTGCTGAGAGTCTTTACTTTTAGCCATTTTAGTAGGTATTGATATCTTGTTTTTTAAAAAAATTTATTTCTCAGTTACAATTGACGTACAATATTATATTAGTTTCAGGTGTACAACACGTGATTAGGCATTTATGTACCTCACAAAGTACACCCCAATAAGTGGTACCCTTCTGACCCACACATTTATTACAATATTATTACTGTGTTCCCTGTACTGTACTTTATATACCTATGACTTTTCGTACTGGTAGAAGTTTGTGCCACCTAATCCCTTGCACGATTTCACTCATTTCCCCAACCCCCTTTCCATTCGGCAACCATCAATTTGTTCTCTGTATTTATTAGTGTTTTTTTTACCTTTTTTTAAGATTCCCATATAAACGAAATCATACTGGTATTTGTCTTTCTCTGTCTGACTTATTTTACTTAGCATAATACCTGAAAGCCTATCCATGTTGTCACAAATGGTAAGATTTCATTCTTTTTTTTTTGGCTGAGTAATATTTTATACTATATAGCTACCAGTCTTTCTTATCCAGAAGTCTGTTGATAGACATTTAGGTTACTTCCGTATCTTGGCTATTGTAAACAAGCTGCAGTTAACACAGGGGTGCATATATCTTTTTGAAGTAGTGTTTTGAATTTCTTTGGGTAAATACCCAGTGGAATTGCTGGGTCATATAGTAGTTCTATTTTTAATTTTTTGAGGAACTTCCATTCTGATTTCTATAGTAGCTATACCAATTTATAGTCTCGCCAACAGGGCATAAGGGTTTCCTTTTCTCCACATCCTCACCAATACTTGTATTTTATTGATTTATTGATGATAGCTATTCTGAGAGGTGTGAGATGTTATCTCATTGTGATTTTAATTTGCATTTCCCTGGTGATTAGTGATGAGCATCTTTTCATATGTGAGTTGGCCAATTGTATGCTCTCTTTGGGGAAATGTCTGTTCAGATCTTCTGCTCATTTGTTAATAAGATTGTTTGCTTTTTTGGTGTTAACTTGTTTGAGTTCCATATGTATTTTAGATATTACTCCTTTCCGATATATCATTTGTGAAAATCTTCTCCCATTTAGTAAGTTGTCTTTATTTTTTTAAGTTTTTAGTTTGATGTCCCATTTGCTTATTTTTTATTTCCATTGCTTGGGGAGTCAGCTTTAAAAAGATATTGCTAAGAGCAATGTCAAAGAGTTTACTTTGTATGTTTTTCCTCCTAGGTGTTTTATGGTTTCAGGTCTTACATTTAAGTCTTTATTTTGAGTTTGCATTGCAACCATTTATTCCTCTGCCCTCCCTCTTCCTTTCCCCCCTTCTCTTTCCCCCTCTTCAGTTATTGGAACCCAGAATCCATGAGAAGGATTTTTGTGTAGAGAATGGGTGGATGTAATGACATCTTTTTTTTGCCTTAGGTGAACAATCCTGGTGGGAAAACACATCTCTCTGACTCTAGTAAAAAATAAAATGACAGGGAGCATTTGAGGTCTTGCTCCCCAGCTTATGTCATCAGTTTTACTCAAACTCTTAAGAATTCTCAAAAAAAGAAAAAAGAAAAAAAAAGATGAACACTAAGATCTTGCTTTCCTACTCCCTGTTCTCCCCTAATACCCCAGTAACCTATTAAGTCCAAGGAAAAATTGTAAGAATAATTAGTTAAATTTTCTCTGAGCACTTCTGTGGTTTGTAGTGTAAATATGCAAGTTATATATGTAAATATTATGAG